GCTGCAGTCAACAATAGATTACGCACTGACATCACATAGGTTGTACGATAAGCTCAGGGGAATGCACATAGATGAAGGTGGCTCCAGAAGTCTGCGTAGTGGTCACAATCGTATCAAGCTAAGTTTTGGAAGAGTAGTAAAAGAGGGAAGGAGACAAGATGAGCAACTACCTGAAAATTTTTATACAGAAAGGCAAATTGAAATAGCTACTAAACAAATTGAGAAAGTGATCAGTGAGGATAATAAAACAGTGCGGACATACACGAATCTAATTACTGTTTGAGCTAGAGCTTGCTAAGGCACGTGACAAGTCACCCCGGAAAAGAAGACAAGCCCAAGAGTTGGTGGGATGAGGAAGTTAAGAGAGCCATAGCAAAACGTCAGGAAGCCTCTAGGGAACACAGACATGCTAAGCAATGGGGTGAACCGACAGATGATGTTGAAAGAAAATGGGAAATATTTCCAAGCTCTACAAGAGAAGCATCCCGTCTGATGAATGAAAAGATTAGAAGAAAGGGTGCTCAGTGGCTGGCAGAAGTACATAAAAAGGACAGAAAGGCAGCTGCAAAACTTTGGAACCATCTAAACTCCCCAAGAAATGAAACAAATCTAGAGCAGAGGTTCATAACTGCAGCTCAAGGTGCTAAGCTAGAAGGGGACGAAGCTATTGAATATATAAGAACAAGGGTGAAAGAAAAATTGCAACAAAGAAGTACTTTATGCACCACAATAGACAAGGACGAATCAAGTGGTGCGATGGCTCCATTTTCACAACGAGAGTGGGAAAGGGCTGAGAAAAGGGTTCCTAGTAGTACATCAACAGGCCCAGATGGCATTCCAATTAGGCTGATAAAGACATTAGGTCCGAAGTATAAGCAGGCTTTGAGAGAGGCAGTGAGCAGAACCTATAATCTATGGTGAAGTCCCTGATGGATGGAAACTTAGCAGGATGAGCATGATTTATAAAGGAAAGGGGGACAAAGATGACAAACAACTACTGTCCTATAACAGCGACATCAGTGGTCTACAGGCTGGCGATGCCGATTATAAAGGAAAGACTGCAGGCATGGATAGAGGATGAGGGGGTGCTGGGGGATCTGCAGAATGGGTTTCGGAAACACAGGAGGTTGGAAGACAATCTTCTCACTGACGCAGTGCATCGAAATAGCAGAAAAGGAACACAGGCCCTTGTGGCTAGCATTTTTGGATATTAAGGGAGCGTACGATAGCGTGGTTCAAAAGGAATTGTAGGGAATACTGGACACACTAGGCGTGGAACATGTAGGCACTAATGTTTTAAAGGATATATAAAGGCAACAAGGTAGTTATAAAGTGGGAAAGACAGGTATGCAAGCCCACAGAGGTAAAACGGGGACTTAGGCAGGGGTGTACCCTGTCACCCTTATTATTATTCATGATGTACCTACAAGGATTAGAGGCCAAATGAGAGGGAAGTGGACTGGGCTTCAACCTCTCTTTAGTCAAACAAGGAAAACTCATTAATCAGGCACTACCAGCATTAATGTACGCAGATGATATAGTGCTAATAGCCGACAACAAGGAAGATTTGCAGAGATTGATGGACATCTGCGGTAATGAGGGAGACAGGTTAGATTTTAGATTCAGTAAGGAAAAATCAGCAGTCATGATTTTCAATGACAACGAAGGTAGCGAGCTTAAAATACAGGAGGTCACGCTAGAGATAACAGATAAATACAAATATCTGGGCGTATGGATAAGCAATGAAACCGAGTACCTAAGGGAACACGAAATATGCGCGACGACTAAAAGTGACAGGAATGCAGCAGTGATGAAAAATTGGGCACTGTGGAATTAAAATAGGTATGATGTTGCGAGAGGAATATGGAAAGGAGTCATGGTTCCTGGGCTGACGTTCGGCAAAGCGGTCTTGAGCAAGAGGTCAGAAGTTCAAGCAAGATTTGAAATTAAACAACGTGGAATAGGTAGGCTTGCTTTAGGAGCTTACGGGAATACACCAAATCAGGGAGTGCAAGGTGATATGGGATGGACATCATTTGAGGGCAGGGAAGCTAGCAGCAAGATGAAATTTGAGAAGCGATTGAGAGAAATGGGGGAGGAGCATTGGGCTAGGGAGGTTTTCAGCTACTTGTACATGAAGAATGTCTATACAAAATGGATGAAGCGAACCGGGAAATTGACTAATAAATACTTGGAAAACAGCAGGCGGCCAAACCAAAAAGAATTATCGGTTTGGAAGAAGTATGAAGGAAGCCGAGACAGATATGTGGAGAATTGGCATGATTAGAAGTCTGCACTAGAGATCTATCGAACTTTTAAGCAGGAAATTGCCAAAGAAAGGATCTATGATAATACTCAGGGTAGTTTACTGTTTGAGGCAGGACGGGAGTATTGCGAACCAAGACATATCGGGCCAAATACGAAGGGGTAGACACAGTATGCAGTGCGTGTGGAGAGGAAGAAGAAACTGCCGAACACTTGATAATGTTCTGTAAAGGGCTTCACCCTACAGTTCAGGATGATGGCACAGAGTTTTTCAAAGCACTGGGGTTTAGGGACAGGGAGGGCAAAATAGACTAAGCGGGTAGACGTAACTAGAAGGAGGTTATCTGATTGGTGGCTAAAGTCAAGGCACGAGTGAAAATCAAACCCGTCACTGCAAAGTACCCGTCCAACTTTACCATTGAAAGAAAAAAAAAAAAGAAATCTATTGGTATGTTCAAGTATTATGGCTAGGTGGCGTTAGCCGCGGCCCGATCTAAAGGGTACAGCCACATCCATCTATCCCGTTTGCTTCTGCGAACTCAACAACATCTAGTTTAAACGCAGCGAAGTACACTGCCTCCTCGCACCGCTAGACATTCAGTGAACGAAAAAAAAAAAAAAGGCCACTAAACATGCAGCGCAATGTCAAGCTGAGCGAAAACTTGAAACAGATTGGAAGTAAATCACGAACACAAGAAAACAGACGGAGGAAAAAAAAAAAAAAAACAGACTGCGATTGGATTTGGATGCGGATATGGCCGCGTCCGGCTTCACAAGCACATGCAAGCCACATGTTGCCAGACAGCGTTGCACTTTCGGCTAGACATCTCTATACAAGACGAGGGGCGACTTTAGCTTATTTTATTGAAATATCTCTAGATTTATTCCAGTTTATATGGTAGTTTGTTACTTCTCACATCTTTTGTTTATTGCGACCTTTCCTGCAATGTATTATCACACTGCTGCAACAGCCCTTTCACAGGCCTGCAGCAGGTAAATAATGTAGAAAATATGAATATAAAGCACGACAAACTGACAGACGACAGTATTTTCGTCACCCAGGCCTTGAACCCAATAAATGGGCATTTTTGCCTCCCTTTTTCGCACCGAGGGAAATGTGGCTGCCTGTGGCCTGGCGAGTGTTGTTAGTGTTGATGCTTTGATACTGTTAGTGCCAGCGCACTTTTTAATATTTGCCTAAAATTAAGTGCTGTACTCCCAACAGTTGCAGCCACTTGCGAGATGCACAGAAAGTACCATAGTCTTCAGCTTGTGTCGAACCGCTGAAGCAATTCGGCATGCAACCGATTCCCTCTGTGGCAGAGCAGCACTGCTGCCCCTTTTGGCAGTGTATGAAGCAGCCCCATAGCGCGACTGCGAAGTTTTGAGACCATGAGCAGTATTGAATGACTGCTCGTGGAAATTTACCATAGTCCGATTCTTGAGGTCAATTCGTCTTGGGAATGAAATTTCTACAGGCTACACTGATAATAGTATTTTGCCGTAAGCGTACCTTGAAGTGAGCATATCTGTCCCCCAACTGATTCCCTTTCTTGAATTTTGAAAAAGTGTAGGTGGGGTCATATGGGTAAAGCTTGACTAAGTGACAACTTACCGCTTATAACTCGCACTGTTACTCAATTCAGCTGCTATCAGAATTGACTGAGATATGGTAAAGTGCAAATTGCCATTCCTTTCGAAATTCAAGAAAAAAAATTGCACCAGCCTATAAAAAGTCCAAGGTTTCAACATGGTGCTGAATGCACTCGCACTTGGTTAGGTAGGGTTCGAGCCGGGCTATGCAGTCTACAACTTACAGGGAGCTTATCATAAAGCTGTACTCGAATTGAAGCACTTTGTAGCAGGCTGAAGTTCCCTCACAACCTTGCATTGAATTCCCAAACACAGACGATAGAGACTAAAATACATACTGCTTTAACAGCCCTTGCACAGGCAATCCATAAAGTGGATGGGGGAATAGCCGCTGTGGTAGCTCAGTTGGTAGAGCATCGGATGCGTTATGCGAAGGTTGCAGGTGCGGTTTCTGCCCATGGCAAGTTAGCTTTTTGTCCACTTTTATTCCCATTTGCATTACCTAATAACATCCCCGATACTTTCCTAGGCACGATTGTTAGATCACATTAATATTGAAAGAATATGCCATGCAACAAAGTTCTCGGCAATGATATTGCTATACTCGGCAACAACATAGCAATGAAGCAAAGGTCGTAGAGGTGGGACTCGCATTCGCAGTGCTACGCTAGTAATACAGAGACTTCCAGCCAATTTCCGTTTTGTTTGCTCACATTGTTAACGCAAACTAACAGCGCGTTTGCGGGCACACAGTGACCCACTATTTTGTGGATGTCATGTTTACTTTGGAAACCATGGGAAGGCTGCAAAGATGGCGTCATCCAAGAAATGAAAAGGAAGGCGTTCTTGCAAAGCAAACAACTACTTCACCTACAACTTTCCATGATTTAGAGTCTCAAAATAAATAAAGCAGCATTCATTTACCAGGAGAAAAATGAGAAAATTACCAGTAAACAAGTACAATTTTTGGCACGGTAGCAGGCACAGGTTTCGCATATTTAGTTTCCACAGTGCCGTTAAGAAGAGTTGTTGCAGAGTATAGCGACACACACCCATCGCACCTACTGCCTGCAGTACTTGACAACCTGTGCAGTTCACAGTGGTTATTGGAATGCTATGATGTGTTCTACTGTCAGTCTTGCCTTTGGTGCTGCGATCCTGTTTGGCTGTCGCAGCGGTGGTCTCTGTGGTAACTGGTTTGCCGGTTTTTGCACCACAGTGCCGAGCTTCTGACCAGCAGCGGCTGGCTTTTGGCTCCCTTGGAGTGGCTTCTTTGCAGCAGCCAAATTCTCGAGCCGAGTCTGTAAAAAAAAAGTACACAAAAAGTATGTCAGGTTGATTAAAGAGACACTGAAGTGAAATAACAATTTACGTCAGAGTAAAAGCTCAATGTAGGACAACATTTAAAACTACAATATTAACAACAGTGGTGGGCTTTCCGGCTGTGCCGATTCACAGACCGCTAACCCGTTCATCCTGATCATGCAGGTTTCTGCCCGCATCATCACAGACCTGCTTGCGTCTGCCTTTCCGACAGCCTCCTCTGCCACTACGGGAAACTTTGGGCCTGCTGGTAACAGAAGCAAACCTTGCGTTTGCCTCGTGCCTGCGGCCCATGCTTCGGGACATTTAGCAGCACCTCCAGACCCGCTGTGGATCATCGAAACGAATCCAGCTTCCCCATTTCGGTCGACAACATCTTATGCGCAGCCTATAAAGCAGCAACCTACCGTGCACTGTGGGCTTCGCGGCTGTGCCAATTCAGACCACTAACCCGTTCATCCTGATATGTAGCTCGTATCAAGCACTTACTAAAAAATCAAGCGACTACTTTTTGACGCAGCTGCCAAGCCAACAGTGCTGCCTCTTACTTGTTAATGAATGTATCGATGCCATACGCACCTTGCTACTGCTGCAGGGAATGTAGAGACAAAACCCGGTCCGGACAAAATCGTCCTCGATGAACCGAGAAAGTTGTCTGCCGCCCAGGCCACACTAATATCAGAGGTACAGAGCCTCAGGACCCAGCTAACAAGTACAAACAACACTATCGCTAATCTAAGCACCTGCCTCGCAGACTTAGAAAAGCATTGCCAAAATCTTCTAGATCTCCAAACAGAAGTTGACGCCCTTAATTCCAAGACCAGTCAACCATCGTATGTGCGACATCGAAGAGCGCCTTGACAACCACGAGAACCGTTCCCGACGCAACAACTTAATATTTTACGGTTTTCCCGACACCTATCCCGAATGAAACATGCGCTCAATCGGAACAAATAATCATTAACCACCGTCTCCAAAGCTTTGGTCTTACAGTCGAGACTAAGGATATAGAGCATGCCCATTGTGTAGGACGTTGCAGCACTAACTAGAAATGACGTATTATCGATAAGCTTTCATCCTTCAAAACTAAAGAATATCGTTTCGAATGACCCAAAACTAAAATACACCGATTTCAGCATGGGCAACAATTTCACACGTTCAGTTCGAACTGCACGAAAACAGCTTGTTATCTTTGCTAGGAGCAAATCCGTACCATTTTCATTAAGCTTCAAAACCCTGCACATTGGAGCGCAGCGATACATCTTTGGCAGTTCATCAGGAATTGTCAGAACTGTATCGTAGGGAGCATGTCGCCGTCAGCAAGCACGCCATCAGCCTCGTACAAGCGCAAGAGTAAAACTCATTTTTTGTACTTCATACTAACATACATGGTCTTAAGTGCGTGCCCCTGTCTAATCAAATACAATCATCCAGCAGTAGTGTACCTATACTAACAGAAACATGGCTCAATGACGACATTTCAGATACACAGGTATTGGCCGACTTGCCAAACTTTAACATCTTTCGTTACGACCGCAAATATGCACGTGGCGGAGGCATACTCATCGCCACTAAAAAAGAACCATCACGCTCTCTAATCAACACATCTTCGCAACTAGAATCATTTTGGCTAATAGGCCCCACTCGAAGGGACCCAGACTTCGCCCGCAAACTTAACGAAATATTATCCCAGCTTACCAATAAACACCCTAATGCACGAATTCGGCTTTATGGGGATTTCAACTTTCCCTTCTTTAATTGGCTCAATTAGGCTTCACCAACCTCAGGAAATACTGAAGCAAGACAATTTGTCGATGTTTGCCTCAACTTTAACCTTATACAACAGGACACCGAACCAAGGCGTGTCACTAGTGAATCCTCAAACATTTTAGACTTGGTAATAATGAATAGCCCCGATAGCTTCAAATCCATTGCACACTTACGGGAAATCAGCGATGCCAAAGTTATGCACCCCAAAAATACGCCCGCATTTTCCTCAAAACAATTCACTTGTATGACAAGGGTAATTTTACAATGATTGTGAATTACGAGATTTCCTGCCATACTTCAAATTTGATCTCTGTTCCTGTTCTCTCAATGACAGCTTGCTAATGCTTAAGGACAAGATAAGATAATTGACTTGACTAATAAATTCATCCCCACAGTGAGCTTTACTGCCAATAAAAATAAACCACGATTTTCCAGAAGCTTGAAAGCACTCGAAAATAAAAAAAAAACGTCTCTTCCGAGCTACGAAGTATAATTGTAGCGCGTGCGCATGGGACAAGTACTATGCTGCGGAAGACGCTTATGCGGAAATTAAGAAAGCGAAACAGACATTCTATCACAATGACTTACCTAAATTCTGAAATCTAACCCTAGAAAATTCTGGCAAATCATAAACCCTCAACTAACACGATACATCACGCTTACAAACGATAAGGATGAAGACCTAAGCGACACTGTGCCTATACCTTTAACATCGTGTTCTCATCAGCGTTCACTAAAGAAGCCAACGTACCGTTTCCCACGCCACCAACTACGACATTACCAGCGATGGTCCCAGTTGCGTTTTCTGTTAGTGGCATTTCACCACTTATTGACAAAATAAAACTCATCATCGGCTGGCGTAGACAATATTGTTATGGGAAGGAGATCGACTCAGAGGGGTCGTCACCGATGTATTTTCAGCCGGTTAGGCGAGCAGTGCCAGCCACACAGATTAGCTCACGCCAGTCTATCTCCATTTTGTCGACCTCACTTTGGATGATGTCACGCTCGGCTGCCGACACCCGATATGGACGCCTATGAATAGGATGCTCATTACCAGTGTTTATGCGGTGGCTCATACCGGTAGCTTTCCCCAAGGGACGGCCACTGATGTCAAAAACGTCGATGTAGGACAGCAGAACCCGGTGGAGCTCATCAGTCTGCTGCGGCGTTAAGTTAGAAGCGATCATCGAAGTAACAGCGCTGTCGGAGCAAGTGGCAGATTGATGTTGAGCTTGGGGGTCAGAAGGGGCGGCCATCGCGAAAACATCTATCGCATTGTCTTCCAAGGTGCAGAGCAACGCCAAAGAGATCCCTTGTGGCAAAACTTGAGGTGTCAAGCTAAAGTTGACAACTGTGAGGGACGCAGAATTTCTGGCGACGGACAGAATGGTGTGCAGTAATGTAATGCCACGATGTACGAGGACATCCGTGATAGGGGTCAGAACATAGTCACCGTCGGGAACAGGTGGTATTGAGACGAGCTCCATGTAGGTCAGTGTCTGTGGAGGGAGGCGCGCGTGTCCCGTAGTGCAAAGGCGACTCGGCCATTGTGAAAGAGGTTGTGTTGCGGGCAAGTGTAGACGAAGCGTACTGGTCGAACAGTCTATGAGGGCAGAATGCGCGGACAGGGAAGTCGAGGCCTATGATTTCGTCGTGGGGGCATTTATCAAGGACGGTGAAGAGAACAACTGTGTGTCGATCCACAATGCTCACACGAGCGGAGCATAATACAACGATAGATGCTATTCCACCATCCGCGACACGGACGAACCGAGTGGTCGCAGGTGTGAGAATCTTCTCGAGCTTGCGGCGAAATTCACTCATCACGGAAAGTTGAGTGCCGGTGTCGGCAAGAGCAGGGACATGTACGCCGTTTACTTGTACGTACATGAGGTTCCGTTTTGTCGGGATCGTCAAATAAGGAATTTACGGTCAGTCCGAGTGATGCAGCGCCACCTCCGGTGGCTGCAACACTTAGTTTTCCGTCGGGAAACCTCGTGGGAAGGCGGGGGAAGACGGTCGGCGGGGCTGTGGAGAACGAGACTGGCTACGTGTGGGGATGGAGAGCGGGAGTAGCGGTGTTCAGAAGCAGGTTCCGGGGCAAAATGGTCGCGGCTGGTCTCATGGCGATATGCAGGACGTGCATAAAAGGGACGAGAGGACGCTTGTGCAGGAAAACCCCAGTGACTTCTGGCGAGAAATGTGCCCGATTCTGTGACACGAGAAGCAGATCGGCTTGTCATCGTGTGTTCGCCATACGGACGGATTACGGAACGTTGAGGGAGAGCCGGTCGGGAAGGAACGTGCAGGCGTGGTTTGGGGCTGGTAGTCGGTGCGGGGAGGCGGTGGGATAGAGTGAATTCCCAAGCTGGCAATTTCCTGCCGAACGACTGCTTGAATGAGAGGCAACGTAATTGGCGGAGAGGGGTCAGGGGACGTTGGTCCCAGCTTAGCTGGAGCAGCCGCTTCAAGTTCCCGCCTGACGATTCGCGTCAAGTTGTCACAGGTGTCTGGTGGATGACATGTGTCGAGACACGAGGACGTCACAGTGGTGTTCGGGAGGCGCTAAAACTGATGGGAGATGCGTCTGCTTTTAGCTTGTTGGAACCGGCAGCATTCTCAAATGATCGCATCAACAGATGACACATTGTTGAATACCAACATGTTGAACGCATCGTCGGCGATACCCTTTAGAATATGCGCACCTTTGTCAGGTTCGGACATGTTTTCGTAAGCTTGGCGGCATAGTGAGAGGACAGCCTGAATGTAACTGATGTAGGGCTCCGTGGAAGATTGTGCGCGAGTCGACAACTCATTTTTCGCAGCTTCACGACGACCAGAAATGTTGCCAAAAAGCTCGCGGATCTTTTTCTTGAAGTTGTCCCCGCTTGTTATGTCATGCTCGTGGTTATCAAACCAAACACGAGGGGTTCCATCGGGATAAAAGATGACGTTTGCGAGCATAAGAGTGGCATCCCACCTGTAAGTGGCGCTGACACGTTCGTAGAGGCGTAGGCACTGGTCGACGTCCGAACCCTCACTGCCCGAGAGCACGCCGGGGTCTTTGAGCGCGTGGAGAGTCACGAAAGTTGTTGTGGGCGCAGGGTTGACAGGCCGGGCAGAAGGGCGGGCGACCGGAGAGGATCTAGCCGAGTCTTGGGTGGTCATGTTGTAAGCCGCGAGGGAGCGTCCGCTTCGGAGTTGCGTGGCGAGGACGGGGATCGCACAACTCCACCAAATATGTTACGGGAAGGAGACCGACTCAGAGGGGTAGTCGCCGATGTATTTTCAGCCGGTTAGGCGAGCAGTGCCAGCCACACAGATTAGCTTGCGCCAGTCTATCTCCTTCATTTTCTTCAGCTCCATGCACTGGCACGTAGCAATATGAACACCAAACTGTTAAAAAATACAAAGGATATTATTGCAGTGTACTTTGACTATTTTTTCAAAGTCACTCGAAACAGGAATTTTACCAGACAACTGGAAGGAAGGAAAGGTCATTGCAGTCCGCAAATCAGGTTACAGACAGTGCCCTCCAAATGACCCGCCCGTATCTCTAACAAGCGTCCCTTGCAAAATCATGGAACACGTCATGTACTCTCACATAATGCACTTCCTTGACACCAACAATTTTTTTCATTCTTCCCAGCATGGATTTTGCAAATTAATATCTTGTGAAACCCAACTTGCTATATTTATTCATGATCTACATTCTACCCTCGACCGTCACTTTCTAACCGAGGCAATCTGTCTCGACTTGGCAAAAGCCTTCGATAGGCCTAGCGTTATAACTTGCCCACCTGAACCTGCACCGTAACATTCTTGCATGGATCACACAATTTCTTGTTAACCGCTCCCAGCTTGTCTCCATTAAAAATACCCTTTCTAGCTCCCTCCCAATAACATCCCGCGTCTCCCAAGGATCTGTACTCGCACTCCTCTTGTTCCTAATATATATTCTTCCCGTTCATGTATCTTCCGATATCTGTTTATTTGCCGGCGACTGTGTCATCTATTGCACAGTTACTATCATTTATGATCAAACGGCACTCGAACAGGACCTTCATCTCGTGCAACAGTGGTGCGATCTTTGGTTAATGAAGCTTAATCCCACGAAATGCAAGCTCCTGCCATTTCAATGCCAGCGTAATCCTTTATCATTCTCATACCTATTTTCCAATACCGCTATTGAACAAGTGCAGTCATATAAATACCTAGAGGTCACCTTATCATCCGACCGTTCCTGGAGCACACACGTCAATAGCATATCATCTGCGAACAGACCGCTCGGTTTCCTAAAGCGTCATCTGCGTCACGAACTTCTGGCCTACAAATCGCTCATCAGACCTAAACCTAGAATACGTAGCGCGCATCTGGACCCCGCACCAGATATACCTAATGAACCAAATAGAATCTGTACAAAATGGTGCCACTATGTTCATTCATTCTTCATATGACATAAGCATATCATCCCTAAAACACGACATTGATGTTGCTAATCTTTCTGTGCGTCGCCGCAGTGCCAGCCTCTGTTTGATTCACAAATTCTGTCACAGTTTCCCCAATCAAGCACCTTACATAATCCCACCAATGCGCATATCTCACCGCACGAACTATCCTTATTCAATCGCACGCGCTCACACTACTACTGTTGCCGTCTCATTTTTTTCTTCGACCAGCAGTTGACTAGAATGGCTTTCCCCGTGACATTGCAGCCATCATGTGTTCAACACTTACACAAAACATAATTGCATATTGTTTGTCAGAAGATCACTCTCTGTAAACCTCCATTTGTTAACCCATGCCTTATGTAATATCCCCTACCGGGGTCTTTATTGTAATAAAGTGCCCTACTTAATAGAGGGAAATTCGGGTAAATGAACAAGAAAACAAGTGCTGAAGCAGGAGATTTTCAAAAGGAACCTGATGACATCAGACGAACCACTTACAATAAATCACTAGTAATCGATTTAACTGCACTAAACGAAGAACCTTCCGTGCATCAAGGAACGCAATAAAATGCTGCTTGTTCGTTTCCGTTCGAGTCATGGAAAAGAGAACCCCCAGATGTTACTATAGAAAATGGCTTAAGTGGATCGAAAATTCAATTTTCGCGTGGTTACACGGGACAGGTGATGCCATCTAGCGGGACGCAGTTGAAACAAAAAATGTCTGCAATCTCGAAGTCAATGGCAGGAAATTGATCAATGACCATTGTTGCTGCTGTGGCTCCCGCAGCTTTCGGTCTGCTGTAACTAGCACAGTGAAGCCGGGCAACGTTGTGCACAGCAACAGTGACCCGAGTCGGTCAGATCAAGCAGCTTTTTGAGGCGGGTAATTTGAAGCGCGCTAACCCAATGCAGACCATTAAAACGCGATTTTAATTCAAAATAGGCCCTTACTAGGCACATAACTAGCACTACAAGGTTTCAGGACTGCCATTACAACAAGCAACGTTGACTTAACAGTTGCCTTTGATTGAAGCCGCAGACCATGCGAGACGGGAGATCACAACATTAGTCCTGGTCGACTCTACTAATACCATTGCACCCAATGGCGAGGGCACCATTCAATGTGAAACGACGTTTGCCAATCATGGAGCAAGGCAGAGCCTGTAAAAATTAAGTCGACATACATTAAAGGAATGACGCACGTGTGTGAACGTTGAACGAAACGTTCCTTGCCGACCATACAGTATTGAACATGCCGTACAGGCATGCTGAAGGGCATTGCATAAGATAGCATCAGCAAAACAAAAAATACAAGCAAAAGCCGAACAATGTTGTGGAATACAACACGCAACAGAAATCAGTCTATCACGAACAGTTTCCTTAAGAGAGACTGATGAATGGGATCTAGAAGACTGTTCCTATATACACTAGCTCTAAGCAGCAGCGACAAGTTAAATGCCTGCTTGCGACCCTAGATGAACTACCCACGAAACTAATTGCATTGGAATCGCATCAAGATGGGTGCACAGGAGGATGAAGCGGAAGAAAGTAAATTATCACTGTAAGTGTACCCATGAAACAAAATATTAATTATGCAATGATCTTGAAACGACAAACAAGGTGTTTTATTCAGGTAATGCTCGAACAATAGTCATAGTTGCAAGAGGCTGTTCTATTCTGAATGGCCTCCAACATATGGACTAGACAATCTTGACATGTTGACTACGTGGATGAAGAAATTGGTGATGCGTTGAAGTAGTCACAAAATGTCTAAGCAGTCAGGCTGCTATGAAGCCTTGATGTGAATTGGGGGGGGGGGGGGGGGGGTGGCCGGGCGGGCCGATGTGGTCGAGTCATTTTGCGCTCCGAATGCCCCGGAAAGAAATTTAGGGGACGGGAGAATGTGTGCCACCCTTGGCTACGCCATTGCTTCCGCGACTCGTGAACAGGAAACTGCCCTGAAAACGAAACTCCAGAGGCATTCGACTTACGCGACGAAGCCTAGCGCGACGTTAGAAACCGGGCAAGTCATGCATCCGCGTATTGCAAAAAAAAAAAAAAAAGCCATTCCGCGAATGTTCGACTCGAGCCCAAGAGACCTTGAAGTACAGAGAAACACGAACGAAAAAATTGGCTCCTAAAATCCCGAACTAAATTAGGACAGGGCACGTGCGTGCTATCGGTGGCCTCGTAGCTTTACAACGAGCCAGCATCCACTGCACACAATAAAAACTTAACAGAGCCTGTTCAACACCCTGCGTAGTCTACACGTCACCATAAGTGACCACGCGAAAACCTTCGAAAATTCTCGCCATACATAGACCGAAATACCAAAACATGTGCAGTGACAGCCGCGGCGGGCACCTTGAACAAGATTCGAAACAAGCGGCTGGCAGGACAAAATTGAAATCATTGCGCTACGAAAGAGCGCACCGCTGTTTAAGCACGTTCACCCAATGACATTCAATTTAGGCCACAAAAAACACCAAGGAATGCCGATTCCGCAGCGGCGAAGACTACTACAAGAAGCTACCGGGTGCGCTACAGCAACGGCCCACTGCAACAGCTTTCGTCAAAAAAGGGGCTAGCAGTGTCACAACATTCGCCTAGGCTTCGTTGGCCACTCACCCATCTTGAAGAACGTCCGAAAGTGGCCATGTCTTCGGGAGCTCAGACGTTTCTTCGAGACTTCGCTTCCACGCTGCAACGGTCGTCCCTTTGAATGTGCCGCTGATGCACTAGCCAGCCGCCCCACACGCTCCCGCAGCACGTATGAGCCTTTATCAACGGTCCCGACTGGTTCCGATGCGTCATAGTTGATCACGTGACCCGCCCTGGGGGCACCTGGGGGCCACGAGCTGTAGTACTAGTCGTTGTATCTATAGCACAGAACACTTACCAGTGTCTATAGCGCAAACGCTCGCGCGTAATTTGAATTGTCGTGCACACGCGCAAACCAAATAAATAAATCAATAAATATGCACGAAAGAACTTTCTTTTATTTTCTGAAGATTCGCGACCATTTAGGCCACCTAGGTACTTGTTAGTAAAAGTTGACGTGAACGTTTCCCTAGGCTGCACGGCTATTCCCGCGCAAGATAAGAACTGTCAGGCGTGGTAAGTCACCTCATTTCTTTTCTCGATTGTCGCATTTAAAAGTATGATTACCTTCTTTTAAACGATGTATTAACACATGGGACTGCTGTGAACTTGTTTTATAAGGACGACATTAATGGCTAAGGGTTCGTCGCGCCTATCGGCAATTGAGGTAGCTCCCGCATTTTACTGTCTGTGTCAACGTTACTCGCTTCACCCGTTTCACATTACGCGTCACCACATATATGTGCCGTAGTGCTCGGTGATCGAATCCGCATAGGGACAGCAAACATGTGAGTAGCTAGCACATCTTAGTGGAGCCAACCCATGACAGTGTATAAGTCGCATTTGGTCGCCGCTCTGGCTCTAAAATGCTTAGATCGCGATGCCCTTACATGACTGCAGTGAGAAAAAAAAAATGTTTCTCCGATAACTCAGCATGTTGGGGCTTAGTCAGTGGAGACCTATTCAAAAAGATCATATCGTGAACCCTGCATTCACTTGGTAGATCTGTGTAAACTAACTCTTTTATCGCCTGATAGATCCTGCCTTCCATCGGCCACATGGACAGTTTTGGTAGACCGAAGTGTAGTTTACAGCCCGCTGATAAGTCAGCGAAAACAACGTCTGATGAGTCTGCGAAAGCTACAGTATCTCCATTTAACCACGTACAGTCAGTGGCCTGAACAACATTGGCTGCTATTAGGTGTGGCTATCGTAGGTCCCCTGCGTACAGCTCCAAACCCTATCATTACTACTTTTCTGAATGGCCATAAGTCCCTTTTACCAATTCTTCACGACAAGAGACGCCGTTAAGTTACTCAGAGCTGCTTACAATGGTCAGCCACAAACCTTGGTTTTCAGATAATGGACCCCAGTTTACATCCAGACAGTTCCAGGATTTTTTGAGAGGAAGTGGTATTGTTCATCACTTCTCATCTGACTATTACCCGCAGATAAATGGGCTAACAGAGATATTTAAGCGTGTTAAGCCAGTAGCATGGTGCAAGCTTCCCATCTGGGCCTCTAGGTGTTGCCCCCGTTTAAACGACGACAGCGCACCGCCGGCAGCGGCAATCAAAAGGCATTCAGGAGAATGTATAGTGTGAACGCGTAGAAGATTAGCAAGGGACACACTTATGGTGGCAGCGCTAACTAGAAAACAAGCAGTGGCGCCGCACTGCTCGTGAAAGGCACTGTCATCGAGGTGTTGTGACATCTTGAGCGACAGAAGTGCAGGGATGTTGGTGCTTCACCCTTACTTACTACAGCGAAGATTTTGAGCAGTTGTATATATATATATATATAGCAGCCAACATTGGACAGCTTCTGCTGCGGGCATCTGCATTGTGGCTATGCATAGTATGTACCTTGTTTGCACATGAGTGCTGATGCATTCATGTTTTTCACCAGTGTACATGCTAAAACGTTACTTACTTTGCCTTTATTTAATGTAAACACTGACTGACTCGCAATAAAACGATTTATTGTTGCAAGTTGGTGGGATCAGCCTAGTCATTTTGTTCAGCCTGTATGTGGCATCACTAACTTATAAAGCATGCAAGATACTTGTGAGTGTCTACTGAATAACTTACTGCATTGTACATCACGCAAACGAGATAAATTGAGAGAGGCGATTACGTAAGAGGCCGGTCATCTTGTAATTGTCTTGAAGGGGGAGGGGGTTGCAATCTTGCCCTTGGTTCCATATCACCAATGACTGGTTGTTTTGCTTGCCACTAGGTCAGGGGAAAAGAGGCTGTGGTTGATCTTGCTCCTGCTTGAGTGCGTTGCTAGCAGCCGCAAGAGCCCTCAGGCCACGTGCTCATATCTTGCCTTTCATAAAAATTGACCTTGTACATGCCGAGTAGCTGTCGCGGTTTATTTATGCAAACAAAAACTATTGTAGCAGTGTTGACATGATGCAGCATTTGCCAACTTTGTTCTTAAATGAAAAATAAATAAAGGCACATGTCGACCAAAAGGCAATTGAATTAAACCAAGAGTGGCGTAATGAGGTAAACAAAGGAAATGCTGCACACCCTGTGTAGGAAATCTGTCTGCAGGCTTTATTGGAGCATTGCATGATACCGTCCAAACATGGCATACCGTAGAACAGTAAAAAACTCTCCAAGCCTAAGCTCTACTATCTCTCTTCTCCCTCCTCCAGTCTGTGTTACGCACAATTTTTTTCATCCTGAATAGATGATTGAAATACCTTATCAATTGAAATGTACGGAAACTTTGAAACAATCGGTGACCGCAGACCAGGAGTGTATACATGTGATTTAACCTGCTGTGGACAAAAAGACCAGGAAGCATTGCCACAAGTGGCACAGTGAGACAGTGGGTTAGTACGTAAAGTATTGTCAATTTGGTTACTGTCTAGGGGCCACAAAAATTTGCTTCAAATGAACGCAAGTAAGTAAGCCAGTTATTGTCTTCTTATGCTGCATATGTTCTCTATAAAGGCTGACTTCGACACATAACAAACTTGGGAACTATGAAAAACAGTGCTTGGTTCATGTTGTTAGCCTCTTCATCTGACGTCGTAATTGCACCATAGTTCACATTTCATGGATTGACGTCTCTGAAATGGTGGACTCTCATCTGTACCCCTCACATAAATAAATGGTTGGCCGCGCAGCATCCAGCAATAGTGTATCTATACAATAATAATTTGCCAACTATCCACTGTCATTACCCTTGTCACTTCCTTTGTAGAATCTTCTAGAAGTTTTGCTCAGAAGAATGTGGAATGTCTGGAAAACTGCATGCATTTTGCATCAAACTTCTCTTATTTGTGGGTGTGGAAAGATAAACAATACATTTGGCTCTTTCAGTGATTGTTCACTAATTAAGCTTAATAATTAAGAATTGTTAAAAAATATCGACCTGTTGGGTGAAAATGGCAAAAGATAGCTGGATTTGTAAAATTCGTAAAAAGTAGGACATTCGGCTAGCAAGAAAGGTCTCCGGTGCACGTTGGTTTGACACCTTCGAATATACCGGTACGTCACAGCTTAGACGCCCTTTCATAGACGTAACAATATAATTGTAGATAATGTTATCCATCCTCGGTGAACAGGAACTGTACTGTGTGATTTCAAACCAATAAATATCTGGTGCAATTCAACATGTGTCAAAGTGGTGGCTGAGTGACTGTTGCTATTTGAGTATGGCCCATAATACATTGTAATCTTCTTTAGTTCAAGTGTGGTGAAGTTTTTGGAACTATGTAGATTAAACGAACTATGTTGTGTCAGTGACGACACTGTCCTTAAAAAAAAAAAAAAAGCTGTTTGCAGGTTTGAACTAGGCTTTATTTTTTTATGAAAGGAACACGCACAAAGAGAACTAAGTAAACACACACGAAGAAAAAGAATAAACTAACAAACGTTTCTTAAGCAGACAAGTGTCCTAAATAAAGTTACACTTGTGTGACACAGGCTCACCAGTAGGGGAGCTGAGACCTTTGGGTGAGACTTGGTGACCTGGTGCAGAGAACAGAGATGAAGACTGGATTTGGAGAGGTTACTTGATGCTTACAGAGGCTGACCACGAAAATTGAAGTCTTGCTGAAGAGAGGTGTTGTGGACAGGATACGTCAGCGGCCACATTGAGCCCGTCGCAAGAACGTGTGGACCGTTTCCCAGACGTCAACACTCAGGCCTGGTAACACGACTGTGTCGAATGCTCAGCACCATCTAAACCATCCTCTCTACTTTTCTTTTTTATCTGCATGCGGCTGTTCTTTTTCTTCTTTTACCACATTCGCCATGCTCACAGTTCTTACGAGCAGCACAGACATTGTCGCCTTCTGTCCCACATCACACCATGGCACTGCAGATCTATTGCACGCACATCACAACGAGCTTTATGAACTTGCATTAGTGCTACGAGTTACTTAGTTTTGTATTCAGCTGTACCTAAATGGGCACTTGGGAAGTGCATTCCAAGGACAAAACCTGCAGCGATATTTATTGCTGTTCAGTTACCATTCCAAGGGGGGCAAGGGGGTGTGTGTGGGGGGAAGGGGCTGCATGTCAACCTGTTAGCCACTTAGGACAGCATTTCACGACAAATGCTGAAAAAGTTTTTCAGACTTGTTGTAAGCAATGAGTTTCTTACAAAAGGGCTTGGTATGAGCACTGTCTTCAGTTTCCTTGCTGCACTTTTGACATTCGACCACATTACCGTAAAAGGGACCGTGAAACAGTTTTCATCATTTTGTACGAGCACATTGTGTCAGTAAAGCTTGTTCCAGGTATAATTTGAATACTGATTTAAGCCCTCTGCGTCATTTTGTAATTTATCACAAGACTTCAAACATGCGAATCGTAATGGATTGCAGCGTCTCTGTCAAACACCTTTTCAACTTCTGCCATTCTACGTACTAGCATTGTTTTATGCTACGTAGCACTAGTCCAGCCATGTCGCTGAACCAGCAACTTCCCAGTAACGCGTCTGATGCTCTATCAATGGAGAGCGACAGTTGTCCTCTTGTCCACTTTATCAGGTATATTCTTTATGTGCTATGTGACACCAACAGGCAAGAAAAAGAGAATTCCACGCTAACTAAAGCTTCCAGGTTTAAAATGCATGGCTATATCAGATAAAGTAGACAAGGGCCTGATCGCCACCGTAGCTCAATTAAGAGAGCATTGGAAATGTTATTGGAAGGTTGCACATTAAGAAACTGTTAGCAGCGAGTCGTCATTTCATCCACCAAAATTTCTTTGCATATATAGCATATATACTACAAGTAATGCTCTATATACTTTCCTTGCCTGCAGCAAGGACCAGCAAATGTCTTGCTGATCTGTTGCCCCTCATTAGGGTTGGGCCTGTCAAAAAGTATCTAAAATACACATGACTTTCATGCTTTCTGGTCCTGTCGAGGCTCTGGGATCAGCGGATCAATGTTTAGTGAATATTTGATGCATGAAATTGACCTTTCATTTTTATTTTTTGAAAATACCCCGAGGAAGCTCTACACTGGGTTTTCTTTTTTTTTTTTTTGCAGGTAGTTGGATGAAATGTGTTATTCAATGCTAACAAAAAAACACTCACTGGTGGCATTGCTGCAAGCAAATAGCAAACATGAGGTGTAGGGCAATAAGTAAGAATAATTTGTTCAGTAAAAAAAAGCTATTAGATGCAAACGGTGGTATGGGCGTAAGGAGGTTACACAGCTTTTATATGTCCGATGGATTGAGAGATCTGTTGAGCTGGATATGTGGAAGAACTGTTAAGCAAGCCATGAAAAAAAAAATCGAATAGTGGAAGCTTTGTTGTATAGTGGCCTATTTGAAAGATTGGGTGTTATGATCGTTTTACTTTATGTTAGTGATGCTAGTAGTATAAAAGTATTAATCACAGTATTTGTACTTCAGGCTCTGATTGGCAATAAGGACACTGTGGTATGGCTTGGAATGAGCTATCATTGCTATTCTTGTAGTGTTTGTCTGTAAATGTTGGGTTGTGCGAATCAAAGTTTTAATTAGGGTACTCACGTCAGTTCTCAATTGTTTGCATGTTCATTCTGTTACTTGACGAATGAAATGGAAAACTGTCATGGTCTCTGGAAGGTAAACAAAACAGGAACACTTCAGATCACGAAAAATTCTTTATGTGACAAAAATTAACCTACCTACACAAGCGGTGAAAACCCAACAATATAAACCAAGGTCCCTAGCACATACTATGTACCCAAAACACATAAAAAAGTATTTGCAGTTTCAACTACTGCTTGCTGCCCATGACGTGGTGGCTCCGGTTCCAGGCTGAAGTCTCGTTGCGTCCGGGAAGAACAAAGCTTCCCTGGAGCACGACCGTCTGGTGCTTCGTCGGAGCTGGTCATGTTCTCATAGTGTCTGGTAACTGTCGCGTCAGGTACATGCCGCGGCTGTCTTGCTCGTCCTCAGGAGCATGACCCACGTAGCATAGCCGCCAAACCTCTGCGCCGCTCAAGGAGCAATGTCTTGCTGGGCTGAACTGGTTGCTCTCCTGGTTGCGCCCCGCAGGTCACAGTGCGTTGCTGCGAAGACTGGGGTACTTTACCAAATGCTCTGCTGACGTACTTGTAGCGAACGCCTAGTTGTGACTACCACACGTCCACGCCTCTTGCCATTCCAAACCGCTCCCTTTCTCCTCTTCTCTCTGCTTGCCACTTTGCTCTCATGCACTTTTTTAACCTCTTCGTGTTATTTTTTCACCTTCTGCCGTGTACAATCTTCTTCTTTATTCTATATATCTTCTTTGATACCGTTTTATTTTATTTCTTTTTCCTCGTCTTCCTCCTCTTTTCCAACAATTCACCTACTCGTGACAAAAACTATTATGTTAAATGAAAAACGGGCTTCATCCATACATTGCAAACTACTGTCTTTGAGAATAATTTTAACGTCGTAAAGCTGAATTTGATATTTGCTTGTTGCAGAAATAAGCGGCCACCATGTGTAGCTGCAACTGGTCAGGCATCGGTTGTGGCTTTAAATGCACGGGCAACTGTTTGTGGTGACTTGCGTATAAGAATGAGTCGCTGGATGCTGTACCCTTTCTCGAAAAGGTAAAATGGTCTTGCTTAAGTGCAGTGTTGCTTGCTTAAACACAGCTTTGTCATGCACACTAGTTGTTACCGCTTCATATTCTTTGGTAAAACTGATAGCTTTTTTCAGCTATTGGCAAAATAAGGAACGATGCGAGATAACCGGCTCCATATTCTTTTATGCATATTCTTTTGCGGAAATCACACTGAACATTTGTGTGTTCGACAAAACAGAAAATAATTGCACAAGATCAAGAGGCAGACGTGACGTACCTTCTTTTCTGGGGCCATTCCTCCTTGCTTAGCTTCCAGCGCTTTTGTTGGGATGAGAAAAGAGAGAAAGCAACCGCAGTGTGCGACACATCTTTATAACTCGGCTCGTACTGGACATATTCTGGAAATACTTGTGGTGGTCGTTTCAAAAGGCATTAGGTTCCACTACTCAATTCATGCCACGGGCACTTGGAGAAGTCTTGTAGGGCCCCTTCAAGGGTGTTCTATACTGCATGCTTATTGCATGCGTTAATGGCATGCTAGCCGTCTAGCACTTCTGTGCTAGTAATCCACTTTTTCAATGGCCCTCTTGGACACACGCATTACTTCACTAGTGTATTATAGCTCTCCACGAGACAGACTAGCGAGAAACATGGCGTCGGATATCTTATACCAAAGTCAACATCACTTGATAGTTTTTAATAAAAGTACATAGATCTCACTCAGAAGATGTTCAAAAGCCTGCATTAACAATCTTCACCACATTCAGATTTTTTTTTACAGAAGTGAGAAGACATTCAAAAAGAGTTCTTAAATTGCTTTTTTTAGATCCAGTGGCACACATAATGACAAGTGGCTAGCTGCAGCAATATTGCAGATAGTGGGCATAGAAGTTTGTCCCTTGAATTCTGAAAAAAAAAAAAGGCGAAGCAGCTATCGTGGTAACAACTTGTCCTAATGTTATTTATTTACGAAGACTGCTATCTCAGTTTTACAGACATAGCAGGTGTAAATACGAATGTTCAGGACTTTGAAATAAATACAATGTATCAAAATGCAGGTTTACACAATTCTTTTTTTCAATTGCTCAGCACCAAGTCTGCGTAGATACCCTTCAAGTTTATTCCGAAAATGCACGTTCTGCAAAATGCAAAAAACAACAAAAAACAAAACAAAAACAATTCTAAATTGATTAAAGGGGTACTATATTTATAGGATTAAATCATCTCGCACAGTGTGAAGAAGGTGCAACGAAGCATATGGGTGCCAGAACACTGAATTGCTGTGAACTATCTTATTTACGCAGTAGGATGACAGGATTGAAAGTGCGACGATGCATGTTCGAGAAGGTCTGAAGCGATAAAACACGCACGTGCGAAGTAGAAGAAGAATGCTGGTCATTGCAATGAAGTATGAGTACAATTGCTCTAAAAACAAAAAAAAAAAACAGTTTCTAACATAGTTGTGGCGAGGCCACCAAACGACCAATGCATATTCACTCTCACCAAAGTGTTATGCGCTGTCAGTCATTATTCTTTTGTCGAGTTGCTTAACATGTGTTGGAGACACCAAAGTTTTTGAAGAGCTTGCTGCAGATTGATTCGACGTGCGTGTGTCATTTTAAATCTGCTGTGAGAGTTACACCAATGTATTTTGTGGGGTCTCGACAAGGCGAGAGCCTCGCCATGCTCTTGGAGTGAACGGACACAGCAGACGCGGTCGGCACAAACCAACAACATACACATTTATTTAGCCAATTTATAACAACGATATCGTCTGCCGAATCGATACATCAATTGTAATTAACACGCTACCATACAAACAACATAACGCTGTAACACACTAAACACACAATAACATGACAAACACCCAAGGCGGCGTCGCCAACGCTTGACTTACCACGTGGGACCCCGGCGCGAAGCCCGCGGTGCCGAGCACCGGGGACCCACGTTACAGACATCCGTTCACGGCAACCGCCACGCGCAGAAGAGTCTCGCTCAACTCTTGCCCGCCACCAAGGCCTGCCTTCCGCCAGGGGTCACTGCCGGCGCTGCCACTCTACCAACTGTGGTACTCAACGCGAACACGCCATCTATCGTCCGGCGGTTGTCACCCCCGAAATACGGCTTCTGTGCGAGCTACGTGCGCCACGCGGTGCGAACAACTTTACAGGGGGTGCCAGCACCCCTACATTCCCTTAACCTTAAATCAAACCATATCTAGAAAACAAAAAGATGAGCTACACAAGCTTTAACAAAAAAATGACATCACATGACCATAATGTCCTTGCACCCTGACACCGCCGCCGGTCGACACTGCTGCACTGTCCGGCTCGACTTCACCTCAGTAGAATCCCCGCAACATGAACGTTGCCGTCGGCGCGATGAACCGTCGCTAGCGCCGACACGTCTTCCAGTTGCGACCAGCACTCACGAGGGCGCTGGACTGTAGGCAGTTGCGCAGGTCCCAGGCATCTCCATCGCCCGACCTCACTACCGCATTCCTGGCCAGCGACGCTGACGGGTTGCAGAAAACAGCCGGCCGTGGATGACATTCCTTCCGCTGAATAGATCAATAATAAAAAAAAAACTTGAAAGAAACAATGGAGCAGGGCCTAGGGAAGGGAGCTTCGGGCTTTTCGGCCACGTGGTACGATGGTCAGTACGGCTAGCTGATACATCGGCAGCGGCCGAGACGCCCATCAAAATAAAACAAAAATCACTTTTCCCAACTCGTACATCGCCAGATAAAAAAAAAAAAGTGAGGGAAGCAGAGCGCAACACCTCAACGCAACGATCCACCTAGTTGTGCCACTGTGTGACAAACGGCTGCGCAGAGCCTTAGGCCTAATGAGTGGCTAGGCAACAATCGGCATCCGCCCAGCCTAGGCGCAGAAGAGGCAGCCGCGAGGAGACGTCCACTCTGTGAGGTAGCCTTATCCCTCGCCACACACAGCAGCTTACTGAGCGATCGGCGTCCACGCCCGGCGTCGAGCCGCAATACAAGTCAGCAACGAGGCCTGGCTCCCTGAGCCCAAAGGTATTTACAGAAAATCGGACCGCGAGGCTTCCGTACTCCCTCGCTTCGGGCCTAGCCTACGATCCATGTGCTCTAGGCCTTGCTCACCCCAGGATGCAGACCGCATGGCTCTCGTCCCAATTCAACAACGTTTTGAAAACTAACAACAAAAAAGAACAACATTTGCGAGCAAAAAAATAAATAAAACTCGACCTGCCGACAAATTCAAACACGTCACAAATCCAATCTCCTTGCTTCTCAACAAAGCACACCGCCGACGCTAGCAATGAGAAGCCCCCCCAAGGTCTACTCTTCCCCGGCTCAAACAAAAGCTTGTACCGAACCGCGAAAACTGTCGTGCGATACTCCAAGAGCTTCACGTTGGGCGCCAGTGTGGGGTCTCGATATGGCGAGCGCCTCGCCATGCTCATGGAGTGAATGGACACAGAAGACGCGGTCGGTACAAATCAACACAGCATACATTTATTTACTAACTTATAACGTTGATATCGTCCGCCGAAATGATACATAACTCGTTATGTAATGTGCTAGGACATTGTTACACAATAACACGGCCAACACTCAACATGACAAACACACCCAAGGCGGCGGCGCCAACGCTTGACTTACCACGTGGGCCCCCCCACGCTAGAGACAACCATTCGCGGCAGCAGCCACGCGCAGGAGATTCTCGCTCAACTCTTGCCCGCCACCAAGGCCTGCCTTCCGCCAGGGGTCACCGCCGGCGCTACCGCTCTACCAACTGTGGTACTCAACCCGAACGGAATGCCATCTATCATTCGGCGGTTGTCACCCTCGAATTACGGCTTCTGTGCGAGCTATGTGCGTCACGCGGCGCAAACAACTTTACAGGGGGTGCCAGCATCCCCACAATTTTAACTACAAAACACTAACAGACTTACAGCAGCATTAGTATACGTAAAATGGAGAGGCTGTTTCTTATTTGAAAAGTCCGCGACCACAGTCTTTTTTAGGTTCGCCATCTCTCACTCCCATTTCGAGACGACGAAAAAAGAAAAAATAATGCTATTCAGTGCATTCTGGTCTTGAGTATTAGAGACAGTTCTACAGATAACGCCGTCGTATGCATCCATTCCAAGTTTCTTCTCCACCATTTGTATAAATAGTAAACAAAAGCAAATCAAGAACCGCACCTCGAGGCCTCATCGTGATGTGATATGTACTTCAGATGATTTCGTGTGGTTAAACATAACAAGTTTTGAGCGTGACAGCTAGTAATCTGCTATTCAATGAACCAGCTTGTTGAAGCCAATAATTTGTGAAAAATCTGAATGTTTAGTGTGGGAAACCATGTCGAAAATTTTTCAATGGTCAATAAATATGACATCAGCCAGTTTTCAGCGGTTAAGGAAAGAAGCAATGTCGTGCGGGAATTCAAGGAACTGTGTAACAGTAGAATAGCCAGCAGGAAAGCCGTGCTGTGATCGTGAAAGTATACTGTGTGCTATTTAGGTATTCTAAAGTGTATTTGCTATTGGACATACTGTAAATATTTAGAGCTGGTAAAAAGCAGAAATATTCACCTATGATTTGGCATTATTGGTTAGTTTCCGGAAAACAATACGGGTGCTACGTTTGATAATTTCCACAGCTGTGGACTGTTGGAGAGATTATTAATTGTTTGAATATTGGTATAAGATAGTCAGCACAACATTCTGGATACCACTTTAGAAACATATTCGCAACACCATCTGAGCCAGATCGTTTCGAAACCTCAAGATTTAGTATGAAGTTATGTACTCCAGAGGAGATTAATTTGAGATTTGAAAGAGCAGGTAGTTTGGTGCATTCGAAAACTGAAGGAGTGATGCCATTATCAGTATAAAAAACAGGTTTGTAGTAACTATTAAAGGCATTTTCTATAGCTTGAGGATTTGAAGAGGACTGGCCATCAAGAATAAAGATGAGGGCATAGAAGATGCAGGACTAATCAAGCTGTAAAAACAGGATGAACTTTTTTTGATAAATGTAGCGAGGGAATAGCTAAAGTAGTAGTTTTTGCCTCTTTCATTTTAGCTTGTAGTTTACTTTTCAGTGCATTAAATAAAGACGCATTATAATAAGACTTGAAATGACGATTCTTACTTAATAAGCGTTTTATGTGACGAGTGAGATGAATTATATATTTATGGTACCATGGGTGTCTTGGGTGCCATTTAATATATAATTGAGGTACATACTTTGATAGACATTCATGCTCAGTGTCACAAAGTTAGGAAGGAGCACATCTACATTGTCAAATTCACTACAATGTTTGAATTCCTCAAAAGGTGAGGCTTTGCGGTTAGATATAGTCAGCGCACTCAGAGCTACTTTATACTATCTTGCTTTAATAAACTACCCTTTGTGTGTTTTTGGTGCTCGATCAAAATTCAAACTGAAGCAACTTCTTCGTCGCATTAGTCTGTAACTTCTTTGTTATACTTGTTCTTTTTGTGCAAATGCATCGGGTGAATGCATCCGCTCTATCAGAACCTGAAGGTTGCCATGTTGCCTTGGTGTACTGATGGAAATAGAATTCATGTTATTCTTAATTTATTCTCTCTCCTTCTCACTCTGCGTGCATTAAAGCAATGTTCTAATGCTCTGTCATGTTTTTTTGTTTTCTTGTTTTTTTCCAGTTTTTTGTATCACCAAAAATCTCGTGACGGCACTTGTGTTAGTATCAGTTTTATTGTGTGTTGCTCTGCCGTACAAGTATGTCTTTATTTAAATTGAATTGATTTTGTTTCTTCTGTTTGCAACAGAAAGGAAGCAGAAGCTAAAGGCCACATGGCCTGACAAAGGCTTCTGCTCCTATTATAGTTTGGCACGCAGGCCGTACGTAGGACAAGTCAATACAAACATACTGTAGATAC